CCCGGCTATTTTTTGGTGGCAGCCATCATTGTTGTTTGGCGGGTCCGGGCTGGGGATTCGAACCCGCCACCTTAGGTGTACGTGGCTGGCGCCCTAGCCCGTTGAGCTATAGGCTCCGAGCCTCCTTTGGTGTTTTGAAAATATCCTTCATTGGTTTCTGGTGTCTGTGGTTACTCCCGGAAGTGAGCTGCTGGGCTGCGCTTTGAAGTTCTCTCTTTTACTTTTGCTTTGGTCACCACATCTCATTGTGAGATGACCAGTGGTGGATGGCTCTTTATTCATCTAACTTGGGATTGGTGGGCTTCTGGAGTTTGTGCGGTGGGCTGTCTCACCTATTCTAACCCGCACAGCTCTTTGGATGTTGACTCTCCATCCACTCTGGGTGTCCTGAGTTTCAGGGGTTAGTGTGACATGTATTTTGGGCCTTCCTGTATCTACCGGGTTTTCTGTTTTCATTTTTCTCTCTCCGTTTTCTGGATTGCTTCTTTCAGTCAATTTTCTGTTTACTAAGTCTTCAGCTTCAGTTCTTAACTTTGTGTTTTTTCTGCTCCAGACCTAATTAGTCATTTTTCAATCTACTGTGATTTTTATAGTTTATAATTCATGCCCAGATTGTCAACTTTGGTTTTTACTTATTTGAAAGTAGTAAACATCGTTGTTTTATCATCTGTTGGTTCTCGGTGCTTTGTGGATCTGTTTCATTATGGGCTGAATCTTCTGCTTCTCACTTATGGTATTGTACTTCCTTGCACTTGTGATTTTTATTGTCCATGGGCAGAACATTATAACTGATTCTCTTCATCCACATCCCAGGCTGGAGGTTCCCTGGACCACCTCCAGACAGAAGCCAGAGGGCTGGCTTGCCTCTGGTTTCTGCTTTCTCTGAAGGTGGAACATTTAGCCTGCAGTGGAAAGCGATTAACCAAAGCCTCCACCGTTTCTTGGTCTCCCTGGTCCCCCAAGGCTGCTGAAAGAATAGCTGGGGTTTACATCCTTCCATACCAAGGCTTCTTGGAGGGAAGGCAGTTCTGCGTGCTGGGCTCACACCCCACCCCCTCCCCACTGCCTTTTCTACATCTAGCCTAGTCATTCCTCACTCTGTGGTGGTTTTAGGGAGGTGGTTCTTACAGTAACTCCATGTGTGGACCCTCCTGCTTACTTGTTTTCCTGCTGGTGTGTGGCCACTGCACACATTTTTTCAGACTCAGACTTTGTCACCGCCCACCCTCTGCTCACAAATCCCAGCAGTGATGGCATCTGTCCCTCCTCCCCATGGAATGTTCTCTTCCCCCCCCCCCCCCATGGCTGCTGTGCCCTATCTCCCTAGCACCTTCTGGGGCCGGGCCTAACCCTCCATTCTCCCCTCCTCCACAGCTTCTGCCTCTCCCCAGGCTCCGGCAGACCCTGTGGTGCCCTTCACCCAACTTGGCCTCCTATCCCCTGAGATGGCCTCACCTGGGACACCCCCCACACCTTCATCCCAGAGGCGTTTGCTCACTGAGCCCTGGTGCCTGCTCCAGGGCCTGGCTCCAGTGACACCCCCACACACACACACACACCCTATTCCAACCTGAGCTCTGTGAACATCTGACCTGTGGGTCCTGCCTCCTCGGCCACACCAAGAACCTCTGGGACATCATCTTGTTCCTGCCTCCCCATAGCCCTCTGGGCCAGGGTGGGCACGTGCTGGCAAATCCTGGCCCACTGCCTGGCTCCGCAGCCAAAAATAGTTCTCATCCTCTTAAGTGGCTAGGGAAAATGCCAGAAGAATAATATCTCATGACATATAAAACTTATATGAAGTTAAAATGTCAATGCCCCAAAATAAAATGTACAGGCGCACAGCCATGACGGCATTTACCTGCCCTCTGGGGCTGCCTCTGCGCCACAGCAGAGTTGTGTGGTTGTGTCAGAGGTGGCGTGGGTGCAGGGCCTGGGACACCTACCCTGTGGAGGCAGCACCGGCCTGAGGAACACACCCTGCCAGAGGGGCAGGCGCCTAACTCACTGGCTTACAGGCACCCGACTTAGGTTTCTGAGCAGCACATCAGAGGCCTGAGGTTCTGGCCTTGTCCTGTAGACCTACATCAACAACCTTCTGCCCACCCTCTGGTGGCACCCTGGCCGGTCCTCAGACCATGGGTTCCAGGTGCTGGCAGCACTCAGGGCAGGAGGAGGGGGGAGAGAAGCCCACCTGAGAAGGACTACTTGCGTTCCCCCAGGACAGGTCCTTCACCCCTGAAATCATGATGATCCTACCTGCTGGCTAGACAGTGGGGTGTCATGAGCAGGGCTGGGGGACTGGTGTGTCTGCCATAGGTCAGTGCTCTCGTCCTGGCTTTGCAGACAGGTTCATCTGTTGGTCCCAGTCCACTGGTCAGAAAGTCATAGAGCCAGGTTAAGGTCGGGTTCCCCTGGACCCCGATGCTGGGTTCTGGCCATGGTGATACCTCTCAGCCTGTCTTCTGTCCATCACCCTCTTTGGGAGGGTGGAGGCTAATCACATCCTTTTTTTTTGAGACAGAGTCTCACTATGTCGACCTCAGTAGAGTGCTGTAGCGTCACAGCTCACAACAACCTCAAACTCCTGGACTTAAGCGATTCTCTTGCCTCAGCCTCCCAAGTAGCTGGGACTACAGGTGCCTACCACAACACCTGGCTATTTTTTTGTTGCAGTTGTTTAGTTGGCCTGGGCCGGGTTTGAACTTGCCACCCTCGGTATATGCGGCTGGCGCCCTAACCACTGTACTATGGGCGCTGAGCCAGCTAATCACATACAGGTGAGGCACCTGTGGTCTAGAGGGGAGAAGAGGTTTCCTTTGGGGTCTCACAACTTTTTAGTTTAATTCAGTGTAACCCTAAGATGACAGGCACAGCTGGCCGAGCCTCAGAAGAGGGTTTGAGCCACAGGCACACAGTTTAGGGAACCAAAAACTTCAACTAACTTGTTTGTTTCTGTGTTTCTTGGGAATTGTAGGGGAGACACAGAAATACTTAGAGCATAAGAATGCACTGAGCAAGTCACACGATGATCCTTGCAGGCCCCCTCCTACCTGAATTCTTCATGGCCCAAGTTACAGCAGCCTTCCCGTCCCACAGACCCCTGCCTTTCCCAGATCCCCTCCTTTCTTCCCAATTCCCATCACAAGAGCCAGTTGGGAGGGGGACAGGCAGTCCCCACCCTCAGGTTGAGGAGCATGGGGTGAATGGCCTCAGTGCAGTCCTGAACTAGAGCTGGGAGGGCCAGTGTAGACCCTCATGGAGGAACTGGGGCCAGAACCCCTGGAGGGGGCTAGGCCAGGCCCAGGAAAGAGCCAGGCTGTGGTGTGAGCAAGGACCTGGACCTCCAGGTCATTGTACATGTAACAGTGAACACTGGTTCTGAATTGAAAGCCCAGGGCATTGTAGTGCCAAGGGCCAGGTCACATCTGGCTGCATGGCTGAGACCTGCTCTGCTGCCTGCTTCCAGCTGTGCCCTTGGAGAATGAACCCCTGTGTGCCCCCGTGCCCTGGCATGTCGGGGCCCTAGTGTCTGCTGCCTAAGCATGAGCAGTGTTTGGTGTTGTTGGGACCCAGACTGGCTGCGGGCAAGGCTCAGGGCTCCTGGGCGGGTCTCTGGGGCCCATGGCCCGGATTTAAGACCTGCCCCTGTGTGGAGCCAGCCCCATTGGTGGCCTTGTCCCCAATTGGTGACTGTTGAGTCTTGGCTGGTCACACATGTGCCCTCCTCCCTGCAGTGCTGCCAGACCCTCGTCTCCCACCATGTGGACCCCTCCCTGCAGGATGACGATGGCTACACGACAGCAGACCTGGCAGAGTATCATGGACACCAGGACTGTGCTCGCTACCTGAAGGAGCTGGCGCGGCCGGTAAGGCGGAGGTCCCCATCTGTTCTGGAGGTGTATGGGGTGTACTACAAACCTGCAGCCCAGTCAGCTGGAAAACTCACGGCGTACCCCTCCTACACTATGTCATGGCCAGGGGCAAGGGCTTGGGCAGGACTGAGCCAACACCACAAGCCCTCAGGTGGGCACAACACTAGGGGTGGTAGGAAGCAGGTCAGGGCCATAACAAGGACCATGACAGGGACTGTGACAGGAACAGGAGCTGGGACAGGTGCAGTGAAAAAGGCTGTGACAGAGGCTGGGACAGGAATGGAATCAGAGCTACGGCCAGGACCAGGGTAGAGCTTGTGGCTAGAACTTGGCCAAGGTACACATTGGTCTTGGGCTGCAGAAACCGTGCCTGTGATGTGGGAGCCTCCACAGCTAGGGTTCCTCTTGGGTGGAACCCATATGTCAGACTGGAGATGCCCTGGGTTGAGAGCAGGGCTTAAATCCTCACAGAAGTGACTCAAGGCCAGCAGCCCTGCACCCCCACAGCTGCCCAGAAGGCAGCAGGTCTGGCCCCGACTCACCCCTCCACACCTGCCACCTCTTGAAGCCCATTTTCCCACCCGTGAGGACAGGGATCATGCCTGTCTCGATGTTCCCCAGCCCCTAGCACATGATAAGGCTCAGCAAATGTTTGCTGAATGATCAGAGGAACGGATGGCCAGATGGCCAGATAGGCAGACAGATGGAAGCAGGAGGACAGGGGATGGGAGGGAGGGTGAGGGTAGGGGAAGGAGGATGGGGGCAGAGGAGGGAATGGGTGGGGGAGGGTGGAGCCAGGCATGTCCCTGAGTGCTCCTGTGTCCGTCCCCTCCTACTTCAGGCCCAACGTAGTTTCCGTGACAAGTCTGTTCCAACCTACCCCAGTTTAGGCCACACTTTGCTTTAGTGGTCATGGCTGCTGGCAGATGACCTGGGACTACCCAGACCCCATTTCTGGGTGAGGGTGCAGAGCCCAGAAGGTGATGCCCCCACCTGGTTTCACAGAGGGGCTGCTATGCCTCCTCTTTCCTGGGGTGCCCCTCAGGGTGTCCAGGGGCAACTGAGGCAAAGCCGTAGAACTCCCTAGCCCTGAGGCCTGCTGGACGGTCTTCCCGCTGCCACCACCGAGAGCCTCTCGTTGCCATGGACTGAAACCCACACCTGGCCCCAGCGATGCAGGGGCAGCTCGGGTGGACCCAGGAGCTCAACTGCACCCTGGTTTTGTCCTGGTGTAGCAGTTTCAGGAACTAGAATTCAGTTACTGCTTGCAGTCATCTATTTACTAAATTATTTACTTACTAAATGTTCGATGGGTTATTGTTTAGTAAAAGGTTGTCCTCTTGGCTTGGGCTTGGAGAAATGCTGGGACTGGGTGGGTTCCTGCCCTGGCAGATGGAGCCTGGCTCATCCAGGCTCCCGAGCAGTCACTGAGGTCAGCCGTGGCCTTCATGAGTCCTTCTGGGCCCCACCACCCTGGATGGTAGCTGAGATCAGGGGTAGGTAGGACACCTGTGAGTGCCTGCTGCAAGGTCCTGCCTGGATTCCCTGGGGTTCCTATCCCTGTCCCCACCCCAGCCATGCTAGGGTCCCCCGGCCTGAGCTTTCTATCCAGGCAGGGTCCCTGGCTTCTACCCCCAGACCCAGTATGGGGCAGAACAGGTCATGTCAGGCTAAGCTACCTCCTTCCCTCCTCTGGCCCCTTCCTGCACTCCACCCCCACCCCCACCCCGTCAGCTCACAAAACCCAAACCCTTGGCCTCTTAGGCCCCTTGGTTTGCAGCTTTCAGAGCCCATGTGGGAGCTCAGGGTCCACACCACACAGGCCTCTCCATCCCCTCCCAGGGGAGCCCAGGGATAGCAGGGGTGTTAGTCTCTTGCCACTGCTGAAGCTGTCCCCCCTCCAGGCCACCTGCCTCACGTTCCAGGCCCCCCCTTCTCTGCAGGGGGTAGGCTGTCAGCTGCCGGCTGGCAGGGTGGAGGAGGCTGCGTGCCTGATGCAATATTGATGGGAACGCAATACGCAGAGGTCCCCTGCTCTGGCCTCTTCCCACGCTGGCCCCGGAGGAGGTGATGAAATCCATTATTTTCTCCTGACACCACATCCTGTATCTGCTCCCAGGGGATCTGTGGGTCCCAAGAGAGGAAGCTTGGGGAACAAGGCTGGAAAGTCAGTGCTGAGGCCTACCCTGTGGGTGGCACCTCCCTCAGTGTCACATTTGGGTTGGGTCTGTGGGACCTGGCTGTACCCACTCCCCAGGCGAGGCCCTGCCCCTCCCTGGGCCTCAGGCACCGCTCTGCACAATTGGGGACTGGATCTCGAAGACCTGGGTGGGGAGGGGTAGGAAGGGCCATGGAGGCAGCCCCACCCCCTGCTAGCCTGGAAGCAGCAGCGGGAAGGACAACTCCAGATGGTGAGCGTGGCCCTCTATGGACAGGGGCAGAGGCTTCAGCTCTCCTGTGGTGCCCAGGGCTCCTGCTCACACCCTGCCCCCGGCTGGGGCTGCTGCCCCAGGCATGTGGTACTGGGAGGTGCTGACCGTCTCTGAGCCCCCGTTTCCTCACCCATGAGACAGGAGTGAGGAACCTTGCTTTGAGGGAGATGTTTCTCTCCCCCATCTCCGTGGGCTCCTGCCTGTGCTGGGCCCTTTGGACAGGCTAGTTTCCCTCCTCCAGGGCCAGAGAGGCCGTTGACCAGTGGTTCTCAACCTTCCTAATGCTGCGACCCTTTAATACAGTTCCCGTGGGTCTTGACCCCCAGGCTGAGAACCGCTGCCCTAGACCCTTTCATTTTACAAATGGGGAAGCCGAGGCCCAGCGAAGACCGGGGACTCCTTGGGCAGCCTTCTCCCTCGGGGAGGAGTGGGGCCCGGCCAATAACTGAATCTCAGCTGTGGCGGTTGGTGTCCAGCAGGCATCTGTGGGTCATGATTTTCTTGGCCCGGGTGGCATTACAGGCCTGTAACCCGGCTCGCTGCTGCAACCCCAGATGCATAATGCATGGCAGACACAGTAACACTCAGATCTCACCAAAAACACAGGGTTACAGCAGGCATGGGCCAGCTATAACCACAGATCGTGACTGCTGACCTCTGTGCAGCCATCCCACGCTGGGACTCAGGGCAGCACATGCCCGACTGTTGGACCCCAAAGGACAAGATGCAGATCCCTGGGGTGTCACTGACAGTTCAGGGACAGACATGGGAGGCAGGGACCTGGCTGTGCCCATGGCCTGGGAGGACTTCTCACCCCTGCTGAGACTTAGCAGATCCTTTACCACAGCCATGTTGACAGTGGCCACAGGGCACCAAGGCCCTGCCAGGTGCTCTCCATGATCCAGTCTTTCCAGCAACTCTGGACATAGAGGCTCAGGGTGACCCCTCAGGACTTCATGTTTCCGAGGAGTGAGCAGAGCAGGGTCAGGCCCAGGATAGGAGGGGTGATGTGAGGTCCCTGGGCCACTGGTGCTGCTGGGCCAGAGTTCGTTCCCCTGGGCCCAGACCAGCCTTTCTGTCTTCCCTAGCTGAGGGGCTGCTGCCAACCCAGCTGAGCCCCCTGCTTGAATAGAGGTGTGGGGCTTCTTACCCTTCCCCTCTAGCAGCAAATTCAGTGGGCAAGGCTGGGGGCTACCAGGAGGGGAGGATGTGGGTGGCAGGAAAGGCCCCTGTCAGGCTCATAACTTGGTCCTGGCTGGGCAGGGAACAGTATGGGGCAGGAGGGTGGCTGCTTTTCAGGGCCGACCCAGGGTTCAGCCCTCTCTGTCTGTCCAGCTATTAGTGGCCAGCCCATCTGGTGGGGGTTTGACTCCACCTGGCTAAAAGCTCCTAAGTCAGCAAGAGTGTCAAGGAAGACACAAGTCTTCTGAGTCCAAGATAGAAGACTTCCTTCTGGAAGGAAGTGGGGAGTGGGGGGAAGGAAGTGGGAAGTGGAATGGATAGTGGGGAGCATGCCTCATGTTTTGTGGGGGTCCCCAAGTCCCAGGTGGTGTGATTTGGGTCCGGGTGACTGGTGCCCACAGTAGGTTTGTGTCTCAGCTGAGAGCCACTGAGCCCAGGCTCCTCATACATCTGGATCACTTCCCCCAGGGAGCAGCCAGGCGTGCCAGGGACACAGCATGGACCCAGTGAGCCAGGAAACTCGACTGTAGCTCTGCTGTGTCACAGCAATGGGATCTTGAGAAAGCCCTTCATCCTCTAGGCCTAAGCTTCCTCTTCCATGCCCTGGGAGCCATACTGGTGAGGGTGCAGGATTCCTCTGGGTGGTTTCTTTTCTCATGTGGCCCAGAGATCTCAGGTCTTCCTCTCTCTCCCTGGAGGGTCCCCTCCCCAGCCTCTGCACTGTGAGGTGACAGGGCTGTGGTAAGGGATCCTACACCCAGCCACGTCCGCCTTGCCACCTGACACCTTAGCTCTCAAATATTAATGTGACACCTCCCACTCCGGGGGCGGCAGCTTCAACAGCCCCCGACAGCCCAGGATGGCCACAGCTCCCCGTGCTCAGCCGCCTGTGTCTGTTTCCACGCTCCTCCCGGGCTAGAGGCCAGGCAGACACTCTCCAACCTGCCGTGCTCCCAGGCTCCTGGACTGTGGGCACAGATTCCTGGAAGGAGCCAGGTGCGTGGGGGCTGACAGGGTTTGGGTCTGTGTCCCCTTCCCTGTGCCTACGGCTTTGGGGCCTCACAGCCTCTGCCAGTGGAGGGGGAGTGGACTGAACCACTTTAGCCCTGAACAAGAGAGGACGAGGGCAGCCAGGGTTTGAGTAGGCAGGGTGGTGTCACCTCATGCAGGCCCAGGCAGAACAAGGACTAGGGACTCAAGACAGAACAGCAGAGCACTGGAGCAGGCAGTGGGGGTGCTGACCCCAGGTCATACATCCTGTGTCAGCTGATAGCGCCAGGCCTTCGACCCTGCCCGGGGCTCCTGCCAGCTCCCAGTGCCCACTGGAGGGAGGGGCAGGATGGGGTCTCAGAGGGAGTACGTGTGCATCCCTGCTAGCTGGGAACAAGCCCTGGGCAGCTCCGTGCCAGATGGTGCAGTTGGGATCCTGGGCATGGCAGGGTCAAGCCAGCCTCCAACTCTCAGCTTTAAACCCAAAGGCAGCAAGCCTGGCTCTGGGTCCTGGGGGGACAGTTTGAGTATCCTCCTGAAGCATTTCTCTCCGCCAAGTAGAGACAGTGGGGCAGCAGGAGGCATGTGCACCCAGCTGCTCACAGCACTGGTGGTCAGAGCATCCTGCAGGCCTCACAGATTCCCTCACAGCCGTGGGGCAATTAGGAGTCTCAGTTCCCACTGACCTGACGCTGAGGCCAAGCAGGGCAGTCCCGGTGACCTTCAGGTCAAGGGCCCTTTCTGACAACCAGAGGTCAGTACCTGAGAATAGGGGTGTTGGTCAAGGCTGGGTTTATGCCCTGCCCTAAACGTGGCCAAGATGGGGGCAGGGTGCCCCTGGAGCTGCAGGGTCCCCAAGGCTGATCTTGGTGGCCTCTGTTTCCAGGCAGCTCTGGGGAGGGAGGCCCAGGAAGGGTAACCCCGGCCAGATCCCAGTCCTGGTCCTTCCCAGCCTGGACACTGGTGGGTCCTCACACAGCACCTCCCATCTGAGGTATGGTCACAGCCCCATGGACCTTGCTTAAAAGTCTCTGAGAAGAGGTCCATGCTTGTGGCCCACAGTCTGCACCTGCTCCCCTCAGAGACTGGGGGCCACCCACTGGCCACAGTTTGAGAGAGGACAGAGGCAGCCCTGACTACCCTAAAGACTTGCTCTCCAAAAAGGCTGCTGGGCAGGCCAGGAGCTGGGGTTGGGGTCAGGAGTGTCAGAGTCCTCACCTGAAGATGACCTGTGCCCTCAGCTGATAGGCACATGTGGGGAGGTTTCTCACTAAGCTGTCCACCTCTAGGTCACTGACAGGCCCATGACAGGGTGGGGGCTCCAGATGGGTCCCAACATAGACCTGAGGGACAGCTGGGGAGGGGATGTATGCAGGAGGATAAGCACTTATGCCTGTGTGTGCGCGCGCACACATCCTCCTAGGCTGAGGAGAGGTCTCCAGGGAGAGCCCCTGAGCCAGATCTTGAGGTGGGGTGGCCCTGGGGAGGTGGCCTGGGGGGTGATCCAGACAGAGGGCACTGAACCTGAGAGCAAGGGTGTTTGGGTGCCATGGTCGCCAGTGTGCATGGGGGCAGATACGCACAGGGCATAGCTGGGAGCCCATGCATGGCGTAGGCCAGGCTCACCCACTGGATGGAGCTTCGAGGAGCCCAAATCAGGCCCTTGAAGGGGGCCTTGAGACAGAGGCCCACTTGGGTCCACTGACCAGGACTGTCCACCCCTAGGTGCCACTCCTGATGACGCCCCCACCACCACCATTCCCTCCTCCCCCGCTGTCGGCCGTGAGGCACTCCCTGGAGGAAGGAAGAAGAGGGGGCTCGGGGCTCGGGAACCCCACCCGTGAGTGTACCTCCAGCAGGACTGGCCTGAGTGTGAGGTCCTTGGGGTGGGGTGGGTTGCTGACACCAGGCTCCAGGCACCAGGTCATCTCTCCCGTCACCCTCCTCCCCACCTTCTCCCAGGTTTCTTGGTGTCTGCGTTGCCTTGTAGAGGCGGGATTAACATTGCCTACAAAGGGCTCTATATCACTGCAGCTTGTCCAGAGGCCAGGCCAGACTGGGGTGGGGCCCAAGCCCCTCCAGACCAGCTGCTGGTCCTGAGACTCAGCAGGTCGGTGACCAGGGCCTGTGGCTGGGGTGGGGAGGGGCAGGGTTGGCCCTCAAACTGCAGGTCACCACCCATGCAGGGATCATAACCAGTATTTATCACAATTAAAGGGGATGGAATAGTGTGAAAATACCAACAGGTACTGCATGCAGTGAGGGCTGTATCAGTGTGTGTGTGTGTACACGTGTGTATGTGCATATCTGTGTGTGAGTATCTGTATGTGTTTGTGTGTTCTGTGTACACGTGTGTATGTGCATATCTGTGTGTGGGTATCTGTGTATGTGTGTTGTGTGTACATGTGTGTCTGTGTGTATATGCATATCTATGTGTACACATGCATCTCTGTATATGCATATCTGTGTGTGTCTGTGTGTTGTGTGTATACATGTGTGTATATGCATATCTGTGTGTGGGTTGTATGTATGTTGTGTGTAAGTGTGTGTCTGTGTGTATATGCATATCTGTGTGTGGGTTGTATGTGTGTGCCCTGTGTGTAGACGTGTGTCTCTGTGTATATGCGTATCTGTGTGGGTGTCTGTGTGCGACTGCCTGATTGTGGTGCAATGTGTGCCTTACCTCAGGGCTATGGCACTGGGATATGTATCTGCACTGGGGCCTGGCAGGGTGAGTTAGGCCCAGAACCCAGGTCATCCACCCCCACACTTCTCTGGAGTTGTAGGAGGGTCCAGGAGCAGCCATGGCAGGAATGGGTGAGATGCAGGATCAGCCAGGCTGGGGCAAGCCCCACTGACACCCTGACAAAGGTCCTGCAGGCCCCCGGGGCATTCTCAGGCCAGGCTGAGTGGGGTTACTACCCATTACAGTACCCCTTCAGGAGGCAGGTTCTGTCTCCAGGCCCAGGGTCTCCCTGCCACCCCAGCTCCCCCTCCTCTCAGCAGCCACATCGCTCAGCCCCACCTGGCCTGGCCAGCCTGACCAGCCTCCGCCGAGGGAGCAGATGACCTGTACAGCACCCCCGAGGGTCTCCAGCACGGCCACAGCTGCCCCGACGGTGCGTCCCCCAAGCCCCTCCATCCCCATCTCCAAGGCTCCCCACCAGCTTCCCAGTGAGACCTCTTGCGGACCTAGGGCAGGCTCCTCCAGCACAGCCAGGGCCGTCCTTGACAGGTGGCCCCAGCCTTGCTACCTGGGGTGACTCTGGATGGCTTTCGAAGATATTCTGAGTACTGAGGAGGTAGGAATTTCAGGCAGAGCAGCTGTCATAGAAAATGTGGGCCTTTCTCTGCCATCCCAGAAAGCCACCACAGCCTAAGCCCCTGACTCTGACCTCTGAACTCAGGGACACTCCCTCCCCCAGCGTGGCTGCCATCACAGCACAGAGCAGCAGCCATCCATGGGGAGGGTGAGCTTGAAGCCCACCACCCACCTCCTTAGGGAATCCCAGCTGGCCCAGGACTGGCTGTAAGAAGCCTCCCCCACACCCCCCAGCACCGGGCCCTTAGATTTCAGCCCAGTCTTTCCCTGAATAGGTCCTGGGAATTCTCAGCCCCTGAGATGTTCTGTGTGACTCTGGGAAATGCCACATGGCACTGGCCCACTGGCCCTCCTGGAGAGCTGGGGTGCACATAGCATATTAAAAGCTCTGACAAGTCCTGGAGCCCAGAAATAGCCACAAGACTCTGTGTAGCTGTTCTGAGAACAAGTTTGCCCATGAACATGGTATGCTCTGGGCAACCTCTTCTAGGCCATATACAGGGCAGGGGGAGAATCTCTGGTTGCCTGTCTCAGCCAGCAATCCCCCCAACACGTGGGCCCCACAGAGATACCATGGGGCTGGGGGCTAAGGGGGCAGGGTGCTAACTGTGGCTCCTGCCTTATCCTCTCAGGATGTTGCTTGTGCACCCTGAGCAGAGCCAACCCCCTGCCATAGCCTCCCCTCCACTAGATGTCCGGGGTCCCTCTGGGCCTTTGTGACCCACCCCTAACCCCTATCTGCACAGGGTGCAGAGATGGCTGTGGTGGGAGACACCCCTGATGGCCTGGCCATGCTGCAGCTGGATGGGCTGCCCTCGGGCGACATCGATGGGCTGGTGCCCACACGGGACGAGCATGGCCGGCCCATCCCTGAGTGGAAGCGGCAGGTGATGGTACGGCAGTTGCAGGCACGCCTGGGCAAGGACCAGGCCTCTGAGGCCCAGGTAGGGAGGGGGTCAGGGGGGAGAAGGAGACGGGAGGCTGATCCAGGCAGGTGGAAGTGGAAGGTGGGGCTCCCAGAACCCAGACCCAACCTGAGACCAGGTATCACACTCCCCTGTGGCCTCAGCTGCTTCTGCCAGAAGATGGAGTTGACCCCAGTCAGAGGACCTCAGGCAATGTGCCCCTTCACCTGCTGAGGCGGTGTGGGTCCCACGCATGCTTTCACGTAACGGCTTTGAATCTCTCACCCACTTTGTGCCGAGCACTGTTCTGGGCAATGAAGGGCAAGCCTTCCCCTCCTGGGGCTTAGACTCCAACTGGGAACACAGGGGTTAGTAGGAAGGACACCCAGGCATGTAGGTGGTGCGATTCCTACTGCTATGTCAAGAAGCAGAGCAGTGTAGACACAGGAGCTGATAGCTAGGTGCTCAGGAGCACCCTCTGGGGGAAGTGACCTTGAGCAGGGCCAGAGGAAGTGAGGGAAGAGGAGCCTTGGGGGAATTGGGGGCAGCAGAAGCAAGTGCAAAGGTCCTGGGGCATGACTAGGTTGGCCTGAGGGAGCCCAGCAGGAGGACAGTCCCACAGAAGAGGGAGTGAATGACGGGATGGTGGGTGGAGGTGAGGCTAAAGAGGAAACTGGCTGATACTGTCCCACCTCTGTAAGGCCTCGGGGTCTGTTGAGATCTGAGCAGAGCAGGGCTGTGGTTTATCTGGGACTTTCACAGGTTCCTGCCCACAGTGTGCTCAGTCAGTAGTTCTAGAATCTACCCTTAGAGGCTGACAATTTTGTTGCCATGGTCTGGAGCTGCGTTAACCAGCACAGTGATACCAGCCACATGCAGCTTTTAAAATTCTTTAACATCACTCAGAGTGAAAGTCCTGCCCCTCAGCTGCACCAGGACGTCACATTCCTGCTGCCAGAGGAGGCTCACAGCTACTGCACACTGCAACTCATGTCTCCACCCTCACCGTGGACAGCCCCCTCTGACAGCTCAGCCTGTCCTAGCCTGTCAGGGCTGGAAGCCTACAGGTGGAGGGCAGCGCAGTGCAGGGGCCTCTGCCCCGGTTGGGATGCCCCTTTGAGTCAGACCTTGGGGCAAGGCCCAAGGATCTGTCCTGGTGCCGAGACCTCAGAGCCCTGGAGCATGAGTAGGCCGAGGGGTTCAGAGTTTGGGGTTCTTGGCTCAGTCCCAGCCTGGCAAAAGCCTGGGTGTCCCCTGTGGACCCTCGTGGGCTGGACACTGCTCAGGACAGCAGCTGCTATCTGGCGACAGGGTAAGGTGCTGGTGGGGTGAGTGTGCATCACCCCGTGGTGAGGGTACATGCCCTCTGGGGCTGCCGTCCAGCCACAGAACCAGAGTTGGCAGGAAGGAGCTAGGAGACCCTGATAATTAAACATGGAGCAGATATGGAGGGATTAGGAAAGATGTAGGGGCACCTCTACCTCTTTGAGGGGAAAGCTGCCCCTCTCCGGTCTCAAACTCTGGACCAGGGGCTGGCCAGCCATGCCCAGGGGGGTTGTGTCTGCAGGAGCATACTCCCACCTGGGCATGGGGTATGGACCAGGCCTGGCTGACCCTGCTTTCCTGCGCCAGGACAGTGGCTGGAGCTCAGGTCCCATGCAGCAGGCAGCCTGGCGGTACTCACAGACCCACCAGGCCATCCTGGGCCCCTTTGGGGAGCTGCTGACCGAGGACGACCTGGTGTACCTGGAGAAGCAGATTGCAGACCTGCAGCTTCGGCGCCGCTGTCAGGAGTACGAGAGTGAGTTGGGCCGGTTGGCGGCTGAGCTGCAGGCCCTGCTGCCCGAGCCCCTGGTCAGCATCACTGTTAACAGCCACTTCCTGCCCCGGGCACCTGGACCCGAGGCCATGGAGGCCATGGCCCTGAAGGCCGAAACCACAGGCTCTGCAGAGGCCTCGGAGGCTATGCCTGGTGGGCAGCCCCTGCCCTTCTGGTGCAGCCACATCGCCCGCCTGGTGCGCAGCCTGTCCCTGCTGCTGAAGGGTGTGAACGGGCTGGTGCAGGGGGAGGAGAAGCCGGCCTCCCGGGATCCTCAGGATGCCCGCAGGGAGGCCCCGGCCAGTCACCCTTGGAGTGAAGCCCAGCGTGAGATCCAGGAGTGGGGGGTGTCCGTGCGGACGCTGCGGGGCAACTTCGAGTCAGCCCCTGGCCTGCCTTGTGGCTCCATGCCTAGCCCCTGCGGGCTGGGGACCCAGACTGGGCAGTGCCTGAGAGGCTGCTGGCCAGCTCCCCCAAAGCCCTGCAGTGGCCCAACCAGGGGCGAGCCCGGCCCAGGTGATGCAGAGGAGGCCAGCGACTCAGGCATCAGCTGTGAGGAGGTCCCGCTGGAGGCCGGCGCTGGGCCTGGCCTGGACCCCGCCAGCCTGAGGAAGGAGCGCATCGTCATGCTCTTCCTCAGCCACTGGAAGAAGTCCGCCTGCACCCCGGCCCTCAAGACAGCAGCCTGCCGGACCCTGGAAGCCCGCCGCGCGGAGCCCCAGGCACAGGGGGCAGCCAGGTGCCCCGGGCCGTCCTCCCCGCCGCCGCTGGGCGAGGGGGTCCAGCTGGGCCACCTGTGGCAGCAACGCAGCATTATCACGCGCCTGCTGGGCAGCTGGAAGTCCATCATGGCGCACGTGCCCGGCCGCCAGCTGCGGCGGCTGAGCCGGCGGCCCTGCGGGCCCCTGTCCCCCGAGCAGTTCCTGCCACACGTGGCCGGGGCGCCGGTGCCCTATGGTAGCCTGTCGCTGGACTTGTTCATGCTGGGTTACTTCCAGCTCCTGGAGTGCGACCTGCCGGCTGAGGAGCGCAAGATGCGCCACCTGCTGTGCTTTGAGGTCTTCGAGCACCTGGGCACCCACGGCTGGGAAGCCGTGCGCTCCTTCCACAAGGCCGTGACTGATGAGGTGGCCGCCGGCCGCCGAGCCTGGACGGACGGCTTCGAGGACATCAAAGCCCGCTTCTTTGGCTCCAGCCAGGGTCCCTCCTGGGATGCGGAGCCTGGACGCAAGACGGGCCTGACCCTGCTGGGGACCCTGCCGCACGTTGCCGTCCCCAGCAGCGGCCCTGAGCCCACAGCACAGCGGCTGGGGGGTGGCTCCCAGCGGGGCAGCTTCAACAGCGAGGACATCTGCGGCTACATCGACCGAAGCTTCGCCTTCTGGAAGGAGAAAGAAGCTGAGATGTTCAGCTTCGGAGAGTGACTGCTGGCAGCCTGCCTCGGAGCGGGCTTGGGGGTGTCTGGGGATTGCTCTGTCCTTTCTTTGCTTATGGCCCCGGGCAGCCAGGTAGTGGGCCCTGTGGGCAGGCACTGGATTCAGGAGTCCTCTCAGTTGGTCTGGATTCCCCCATCTGGCTGCCCGGGTAGTAGGTAGCCCATTCACTTTCCAGTGCCACCAGTTACCAGGGTGTCTGTCCCTCTGTTTCTCTGGTACTGGGGCCTCAGCCTCTGCCAGAACCTGTGTCCATCTTTCATTTGAGCCTGGGGAAGCAGCCCCAGGCCCAATCCTGCCTCTGTTCCTTCTGGAAACCTTGGACCACACCCTTCACCTGGCATTTGCAGACTGGGTGGAGCTAGAGTGGGGAGAGAGGGGCTCCCGGGGCTCAAGGCCTTCCTGCCTGACCACCCACCCACCATGATGACTCAAACATTGGCCACACACTGCCCACTGCGAGGGTGTGCCAGAGGCCGCTCCCTCTAAAGAAGCCTTCCTTTGGGGTCCTGTCCTCCAGGTGACCATCCCCTCCCTGGTCCTGAGCGAGTGGCAGGGCCTGGCCCAGGGCACAGCAGGACATTGCGTTGGGACAGAGATATAAAGAATGTCTGTGGGGGGCTGAAATGGGGTGCAGGGCACAGTGAGCAGTACCCCACTCTCAAAGGCTACTGGACCCAGAAGAGAACTCGTGGCAGGGGTGGGCACAGGAGCCAGACCTCAGTGGGATGGGACACTCCACGGAAGCACCTGGGTCTCACGTGACCATAGGCAGCTCTTCTCCACATGGGCTGGGTGCTGGCAGAGGGCTGAGGAGAGGGGCTGCATTCTCAGGGGCTGGGTTCTGCAGAGTTTCCCACACACAGGTGCTGGGCACAGCTGGCTGTGGGTGTGGCTTGTCCCAGCTCTTGCTGGCAGCCAGGATGGGCCACCACCCAGGCTGCGGGGCTGGGGAGGTGGGCAGGAGCCCATGGGACTCTGGGGGTGGGATTTTGCAGCTGTGAGTTTGCCCAACAGACAGTGGAGGGGTGAGAGCTTTCAGGAATCTTCCACTGGCCACCACCTCCCTGCATCCAGGCCCTCTTGGGGCAGGGGTGAGGTGCGACCCTGGACAGGCTTGTTTGGGAGTCTCCTGCAGTGTCTCCACCTCACTCCTGGGAGGAAGGAAGCCCTCAGCCCTGGGGACTGTCCGCACAGAGCTTTGAGGGCATCTGGGCCTGTTTCCCAGCTGGGGGACTACATCAAGGCCAGGAGGGGGAAACCCATAAGCATATAGGATCAGGGGACCTGGGCTGGGCTGCTCGGTGCCGAGAGAGGAAGGGCTCAAAGCCAGACATGGGGACATCTCCACTGGGCTGCTCAGGGCTGACCCCCAAGTGACCTTCTATAGATACCTGCTTCTGGGGGAGCAGGCCCAGGGATTCTGATTCCCTCAGCCTGGGTGGAGCTGGGAACCCTGGCCTCTGGCAGCACACCTATGGGGAGAATGTGTCCCTGAAGTAGGCAGGGGCTGGCCCTGGCAAGGCCCCAGTCACGGCTGCACAGCCTATTTGGTGCCTATAAATCCATTGTCCAGGTGGCAAAAGACTCACTGAGGACCTCAGAGCCCCAGGGTGCACCCGGAGGCCACAGACTTTGGTGAGGTGGCCAGACCAGAAACAAAGCAAAACAAAGACCTGGGGGGCTTGCTGACGAGTTAAAAATATCCCAGTGGGAAGGGTTTGTCTTCTAGCCCAGGGATGTGTGCAGGTGAAGATGGAGAAAAAGAGAAAACTGGCTCAGCGCCCGTAGCACAGTGGTTATGGCGCCAGCCACATACACCAAAGGTGGCCGGTTCAAACCTGGCCCGGGCCAGCTAACCAACAATGACAACTGCAACAAAAAAATAGTTGGGCATTGTGGCAGGCGCCTATAGTCCCAGCTACTTGGGAGGCTGAGGCAAGGGAATCACTTGAGTGCGTGAGTTTGAGGTTGCTGTGAGCTGTGATGCCACAGCACTCTACCAAGGGAAACATAGTGAGACTCTGTCTCAACAAAAAAAAAAAAAAGAGAGAGAGAGAAAACTGTACCAAGGGCAGAGAAAGAAGGTCTCGCCCATCCTGCGACTAGAGTAAGTATGGGAGAGGCATGCACCGACTACCCTGGGAAGGTTTCATGCAAAGTCCACTCGTTTTCTTTTTAATGTCTCTAAAGTTCATTAGAAAGAAAAAAATGAACAAAGCCCCCTCTGGAGGCCAAGCTGCAAGGAGGACCCCAGTGGCCCTGCTCCCCCCCCCCCCACGCAGCAGAAGTCACAGATATCACACAGGCTGTAACAGACATCACGGCTCCATCTCCATTGCTCACACTAGGGGCTGCCTTACGGAGAGGCCCATGGGGTAGTGGCAGACCCCCCCCCCAGGCTAGCCCCTGGATGATGCAGTGAGCTGACCACTTGGTGCAGCCTCCTGAGACACCCAAGGTAGAGCTTGGTAGGGGGTCCCAAAGTAGAGCTCGCCTTTGCACACACTCCAGGGAGTGAAACTGTGCGGTGATGTGCCTGCGCAGCTCTGAGACACTGGAATTGGCACTGTGTCCTGCAGCAGGAGGCGCCAGATACGATGGACAGGAAAAAGGGAGACAAGCATAAAGCAGAGAGGCTGGCATTTCAGACACCAGTGGAGACCTCTGCAGCAGCAATCCGCCCAGCACGGTGCTTCTCACCCTAGAATAGTCACCCAGGTGCACAGATTGGCACAGAGCACAGCTGGGATGGGGTGGCTGCTGCAGCAGACCCCTGAGGACAGCTTGTCAGCAGCAGTGCTGAGCACCTCGGGGCACCCACGCCCCAAATTATTCACAGATGGATAAGAGCTGCCATGTATAAGAAAGCCATGGAACCCGGAAGAGGAAATGGGCAGTCTGATGGTGGAGGGTCCCATACTGGGACATCTTCACAGCCTGAAGGCCCCAGACCCAGCAGGTTGGGAGGCATGGTCATACCTCCGTGGCAGGAGGTGCACTCACTCAGCCAAGCTGCAGTGCCCTCTGGCATGTGTGTTAAGTGTCACAGACGCTTATAACCTGGTGATTTCACGCTCAGAATTTATTCTGGAAAATAACCACAGAGATGAGGCCATCTTTGTTAGAACAGTCCTGAGTGGAAAACAACCTGAATGTCCGTGGAGAGGAGCAACTTCGTCTCACTTCCAGCTTTGTAAAGCGAGATAGGCCCTGCTGGGATGAAATTCACAGCTGAGTCTTCAAACACTGACCATGTGAGAAATGTCCTGGAGGGCTCACACCCACAAACATAGTGACCAGCCATAGGGCTGGAAGGGAAGAGACCCTTCTGTTAATGGCAATGGTCTTTTGCTGGTGGAGTTTTTGGCTTTATATTTCTCTGTGTTTTCTGAAATGAACATCTGTTATTTTTACCACCATAAAAAGAAACAAGCAGCATATTTTTAAAAACTGCGCCATGCAGTAGCAATCTGTTGATGTGGCTCCATTTTAAGCCCCTGGTATTGGGTTTCCCAAACTGACCTGTCAGCGAGGTGCTGGGTCTCTGTTCTGCACAGTGTCTGCAGTGAGGCCAGGACACTTGGCAGGTGGTGCTGCACACAAGCAGAGCCAGCACCAGTGACAGCAGCCTGTCCCCAGAATCCCCATCCTTATCTCCTCCATCCTGGGCTGGGTGAGGGACCCTGCATGCTCTGCTTGCCGACAGGCATGGTGGGCAGACCGGGCACTACAGAGCCCTCCCCACCAAGGTCCAGAACACAGTGAAAGCTGGGGACATCATAAGGGTCTCCACTCCAAGGGAGGCAGATGCCCAAGGCCAGGGGGGCAAGTCCTGGACCATGTGGGAGGGGCAGGGTGGGCAGAGGAAGAGTGGACTTGGAACCTGGCAGCAGCCGACTGCACCAGCACCTTGTAAACACCTGCTGAGCTCATCAGCTGCAGCAACTCATGCCGTAACCCCCTCCCCAAGGACAGCACACAAGGGCATGGCTTCCAGCCCACAGCCTGTTCCTCTGCAGGTGGCAGGGCCAGCAGCTCTGCCTGCCAGGCAGGTGCCCAGTGTCCAGGGTGTCAAGACACCTCAACTCTCTGGAGAAATTACCCCAGCGCTGCCAGGAGCAGGGTCTGTCCCTTGGAGGCCTCCAGGGCCCTGCTGGTCTATTAGGGCACCAAGCCAATCCCTGCTGGGTATGAAGAGGCCACCACCAGATTTGACACTCCCTGGCTCACCTAGAAATGGTCCTGTTAGGAAGGCCCAGGGGTGAAGGGAGGAGAGGCCAACAGGTAGAGGACCCTGCGGGTGGAGCGTGGTGGGCTTCTCTCCTATGCACCTGGCTTGCCCGCCTGACCTTGGTCAGTGCTTGTGTTGCCACAGCCCCATTCAGACCAGATATGAGGGCTTCCCCCTGAGACTCTCAGAAGCCAAGCACTGTGTGGGAGGCCT